GGAAAGAGATCGATGGAACGTTAGAGCACTGCTATAAATGCAAAACAAGTTTCTAATGGCCCTTATCAGGTAGCAGAAAGTAACGGCAATTTTTGATTTTGATGCCCATAATAGTCTAGTGTGTGTCTTCTTCCTGAAATATCTTTACTTGCAGGGTGAGATTAAGTTTTGTTTACAAATCAAATAAATCACATCCTTCCCTCATTTTTTCCTCTAGTGTTTCCTTTACCTTTTATCAGGGAAATACAATACATTTACACATGTACACAACCGAGGGCTTGAATGGATTATTCAAATGGTCAATCTTTTAAAGCTATATAACTTACTGTAGGTAGCATAGCATGAAACTCCAAATCACTCCACTCTGCTCCTCCCAACATGCCCTATATTTCCTCCACTATGCTCTGCCATGCTCTGACCAGCTCTTCAGATATTTGTTATTATTAAATTGCAATAAATGAGAGTGCAGCAAAACTTACTGATCAAGCATAAATAATTGAAAATCTCAGATTGGTTAGATAGCTCAATCCTGCTCAAAACCATTTAGAAGCCAATGTCTCTGCACTGCTGCCAGTGCTGTTCGATGAGTCTGGGTCATAGGAGGCCCCAACAGCACCTCTCCACATTAAGACAAGTTTTGGAGCACATTTCTATAACATAAATGTATGAAAATAGTTACATACATACATTCTGTCAGCAAAGCAACAGAGTGCTGAGAATGGATGGAACAGCTAACAGCATCAGTTGAAAAGAACATATTTTATGGGAAAGATGCAGCGCTCCCGACCTCTCTGAGTGCTTGAAAGTTATTGCCGTTGTCTGTGGTGACAGTTATTATGGTATAGAGACTCCTCCCCGGGAACTGCTTAAAATCCAGATGTATTGTGATGGGATTCTTGCTGCATCCTTTAAAATAATGTGGCCTAAGCAGTCAGTTCTTGTTTATTTCAAAAAGAAAACAATACAAATCTTCAGTTCTTATTGCAGATATAAAGGAAATACTGACTACATTATTAAAAGAATGAAAGGGGAAAAAACGGTCCCGCTGAGCAAGAATAGGATTCAAATAAAACAACAGTAATAATGGTCACAGATATAGATCACAACTTTGATTTGTCACATTTCAGTGGCCCTTCAGTTTATGACACTCAAATGCAGTCCAAGGAATTGGTAAAAGTGCTTGCCATATTGGATTGGGTTGTAACTAATGACTATTTTTAATATTGATTAATCTGTTAATTATGTTTGATTGATTGAGTTATTGTCTGTAAAATGTTAGAAAATAGTGCAAAATGCAGATTAAGAAAATGCAACAGTCTAAAACCTAGTGTCTGTTTCTGCGTTTGGTCTCATATAGTGAAAAAACATCCTGCCAGTTTATG